ATGCCCCTCTATGCACGTAAATGAGAGCCACACACGCATGCTCGTTAGGCGCAAAGCATCATGGGAGCTCGTCCGGGAGGTTCTGCACAGAGAAATACCCAAATATGGTCGAGTTATGCTAATCCATGCGCCACTAAGCACAAACCATTGATTTACATGAGCCTCCATCTTTGTTCACCAGGGATTGATTGGGCTTCATTGAGTATACAGTCTGTGATCACAATACACGTCATTTTGCTTTTGTTTTCTTCATAACACAACATATACATAAATAAATCAGGCAGGAGCCAATAAGCAAACACATGGGATGTTTTCAGCTGCACTTGTGGCCAATAAAATAACATTACAACAGAACAAACAGTCTCCTACACCTTTGCATTTCCGTAAAAGCGGTTGTTTCGATAAAAGAGTTGTGTGTGTGAGGGGAAATGACAAGTAAAAACACTTCCTCCGGGACATTCAGCTCTGAAATTGCATCGGAGTAAAATGTGTGCAGAGCAGAGGAAGCAAAGTGGCTGAGCGATGTCCCCGAAACTAAAATATCTATTGATGTGCAGCAAGGAGTCTGTGGGAAAGGTCTGAATATGGAATCTGAACTGCCACAAAACATATAATTATTATTGTGTGTTTGTTTGTTTGGGGTTAATTAACTGGAACAGAGCTACCAAGAAAAAAAAGTTATATTTGTCGCTATTTTCTTTTATTTCTGTTCTTTCAAATGTCTTGGAAAAGTCTGTCATATATTCAAAATGATTATGAACATATAGTTGACGTAAAAAATACTGTCTAGTGAATGTATCACAGAGTTTTCCAACCCAGGGGAACAGACCCGAGGGTGCGGAAGAATGTTAAGGAATGCATTTGAATATAACTATCTCATCATATTTAGTTTTTGACCACCAAAAGAAGAAAAAAGAAAAAGTGGACTTTACTTGATTTGCCAATAGCAGAAAAGTAAATCCTTGGTCAAAACAGATGTTCACAAGACAATCGATAAATGTTCCTTAGACTTTTGTTGGTGGACCTTGGGGGTAAAAGAGAAACCTTGGGGAGAACCACACCATCGTTTTGTAAGACACATTTGGAATTGATACGATACGTGGAGCACTGGGCCTGTATGTATAAAAGACCAAGGCTATGCTCTGGCTATACACTGACAGAGCAGCCGTCCTCCTGTGGACTCACCACCTGCAGAGGATCAGTGAGGGGCTGGTGCTATGAGACTTGGGTGGCATCACTGACTGCCACCCCCCCGACCCAATACTTCCATATACTTATATCAGCGGTACCTAACCTAAATATACCTAATTAAATCTATCCAACTGGTTTCTAATTATAATGCATAGGTTTTATATAGCTCTTTTTTGGACAATTAAAGACTCTTCACATGTCATTATTCTTTCACTCCATACACGGTGGTGATAAACTACTACTGTAGCCACAGCTGCCCTGGGGCACACTGACAGAAGCCAGGCAACCAGTATGTGCCATCGGCCCCTCCGACCACCACCAACCAATCACACACCAGACTCATTCTAGGAAATGGGGGTAAAGTGTCTTGCCAAGGACACAATGACAGCAGTCGGTGGTGAGAGTCGGACTCGAACCCACGACCCTCTGGGTCAAAGGCCAATGCTCTAACAACTGAGCTACTGTCGCCCTATTTCTCACTCTCAAAAGAGTTTGGTTCTATCACTTTAGTTTTCACATGCATGAGGAGCACTCTCACTGCTGTACAGGTAGCTTTTGTTTACCTTGAACTAAGCGTGATGCTACGTCACAGATGTGCATAGGAAGGACTGTGAAAAATATGACAGCTTTAGATCTGTTATTTACTCATATTTTGTTATGTTTTATGCACCCTTCCACATGCACATACAATGCATTAAATCTGATTATAGAACCCCCTTCCCTACTTTATTTTATTCCATCTGTATGAATCTTCTTCTTTGCTTCTCGCTTCTGTCAGTGTGCCCCAGGGCAGCTGTGGCTACAGTAGTTTTATCATCACCGTATATGGATTGAATGAATAATGACATGTGAAGCGTCTTTGAGTGTCCAAAAAAGCGCTATATAAAACCAATACATTATTATTATTATTATTGAACCTCATGTAATCAGTGATTTGCATTGTTTCTGTATTTATATAATGCAGTTTGTCACTCTCTTTCTTAATGCTTCCAATAAAGTTCATAATGTTTTTTTTACAAACTAGAACTGCAGCTTACCCAACAGCCAATCCATCGCCGCAAACCCTACAGACGCACACACTCTCAAAGCCACATCACAGCGGGTCAAACGCAGGCCACTCGTCAGCTCCACTCCGCCCTGTGATCCTCGTCGAGCTGTCGAGGAATCATCACACAAAAAGCCCTTCTCCGGAAAAAAACGGGGGGAGGGGGTCGAGGAGAGAGGATAGGTACATGGCACAGATGCACTGACATTTCACCACTTTGTCACGGCCCACTGCTTCACTCGGGCGCACACGATTACAGAACTGCGGGGAACATACAAGGCGTCAAAGAGCCCCGTTCATGTAAGTGGAGCAGTGGCCGAGGTTCAACATGTGTCATATGGTGTCCTGTCCTCGAACACGGACCTTTAATAACTAATACTGTAGGCGTTCAAGGCATTTGAACCCCTACCCCTACCTCTGCCCCTGACACCTCTCCCTCCCCCACCCCCCACTACTCTAACGACCCACCCATCAGCCCTGCCCCCAGCCTAAAAATAGCCTCTAAAGACATTAAACAACTCTTCCTGAGGCTGCACCCCCGCAAAGCTCCTGGCCCGGACCACGTGTCTCCGGCCACTCTGAGACACTGCGCCAGGGAGCTTACTCCTGTGTTCACTGACATTTTCAACACCTCTCTGCAGTCCTGCCATGTCCCGGCCTGCTTCAAATCCTCCATCATTGTCCCCGTCCCGAAGAAGCCCAGGATCACAGGACTCAATGACTACAGACCTGTAGCACTTACGTCTGTCGTCATGAAGTCATTTGAACGCCTGGTTCTCTCCCATCTCAAGTCCCTCACCTCCCCCCTCCTGGACCCCCTGCAGTTCGCCTACAGAGCCAACAGATCTGTAGACGATGCCATTAACCTGGCCCTCCACCACATCCTACAGCATCTGGACTCCCCGGGGACCTACGCCAGGGTCCTGTTCGTGGACTTCAGCTCTGCCTTCAACACAATCCTGCCATCCCTGCTCCAAGACAAGCTCTCACAGCTCAACGTGCCCGATTCCACCTGCAGGTGGATCACTGACTTCCTGACGGACAGGAAGCAGCGAGTGCGTCTGGGGAAGAATGTCTCGGACTCTCGGATTATAAATACAGGAGCCCCACAGGGCTGTGTTCTTTCTCCCCTGCTCTTCTCCCTGTACACCAACCACTGCACCTCCAGCCACGACTCTGTGAAGCTGATCAAGTTCGCGGACGACACCACCCTCATTGGACTCATCTCCAACAACGATGAGTCCGCCTACAGGAGGGAGGTGGACCGGCTGGTGTCCTGGTGCAGTGGTAATAACCTGGAGCTGAACGCCCAGAAGACAGTGGAGATGATTGTGGACTTCAGGAAGAGCACTGTCCCCCCGCCCCCACCCTCCGTGATGGACTCCCCCATCACCTCTGTGGAGTCCTTCCGTTTCCTGGGCACCACCATCACCCAGGACCTCAAGTGGGAGCCGACCATCAGCTCCCTCATCAAGAAGGCCCAGCAGAGGATGTACTTCCTGCGGCAGCTCAGGAAAGCCAAGCTGCCTGCACAGATGTTGGTGCAGTTCTACACGGCCATCATCGAGTCCATCCTCACCTCCTCCGTCACTGTGTGGTTCGCTGGAGCCACAGTCAGGGACAAACAGAGACTACAGCGCATTGTGCGCTCTGCAGAGGAAGTGATCGGCCGCAGCCTTCCATCGCTGCAGGACCTGTACGTCGCCCGAGCTCGAGGCCGGGCTGGTCGTATCACAGCCGACCCCTCTCACCCTGCACATGGACTATTCCATCCACTCCCCTCAGGCAGGAGGCTGCGGTCCATCAGGACTAGAACCTCCCGCCACAAGAACAGTTTCTTCCCCTCTGCTGTTGGACTCTTGAACACTTCTTAACCTGTCCCCCCGCCCTTTATAAAGTCACTTTACTGCCCATCATACGTCACTTTACTCCACTGTACTGCTGTCACCTTACATTGTGTGCACCATGTGCACTTGTATATTGTAAATAGTAACTGTAACTCTATTTTAAATTTAAATTTATTCTTAGAAGTGTTTTTTTAATTCTTATTTTTATTATCTCTTTTTGACTGTTGCACTGAGCCAAAGCAATTTCCTAGTCTGTGACCTCCTGTTACTTACGTGGCAATAAAAATGATTCTGATTCTGATTCTGATTCTTCTGATTTACGACCGTGACGACCATTGAAATAACAACAACTCTACATAGACTGCCTGGTGCACATTGGCGGACTTTTGCACATGTATTCCAGTAAGGTTCTACTGAGACTAGCAAATAAACGGAACTGTATACTTGTACGTGGAATGGCAGAACACAATTTTATTGCTGTGTGCCCTGCGATCGTCACCAACCATTCACATACACACAGCTTTGGCACTGTTTCCAGTCCACAAACTCACAAAGTGCTTGCTAAAATAGGCCCAAATTCAATTGTTTGTGATCCATTGAGAACTTAGGGCTGCCCAGAGATTGGCCAAAGTCTACCAAACTGGAGCCTATGATCCAATCGGACAATGGCAGCCTACGGGAGCAGTACGGGACTTACTGGACTTAGGCACACCTGTATACAGCAAAATGTGAAACGGTTACGTTGTACTCTGGCACTTAGGCTTTCCCCCCATTTTCTTTTGATCTGATTTCAACAACAACAAAAACTCACAGTGAAAAGTCTGAGTACTCATGAAAGACTATACATAAAAATCTGTCTCTATTGTGAACCAATGCTCTCTTTCCCCGAATCGCATTAGTCGCTCAGTGTGACAAACATGGTAAAAGACATCCGGAGCGTGTGTGTGATGGCGGTGAGTGGGCAGGAATAATGCACGTCTACAGATTTAAGAAGGCCATGTTTGAATACAGAGAATGTGAAGAGAACCAGCTGTATCACAAAACTGTAAAGAGCACTGTGAGAAAGCCTCCTGCCAACTTCAGTTTTCCTTGTTTTCCTCCGGCTATGGTACAACTGGGTAAAATCTAAGCTCCATATTGAACGACCCGCTGTGAGTTGATCCTGCGTGCCTGGCCCACACTGACCGCTGCTTGCAAAGTACCACGCTGGATTAAGGCACTTTTAACTGGGCTATTGATTTTATGGCTGCCTAGAAGGGCTTTGTCACGCAGCTTTGGATTTTGTATGACAAGAAAGGCAGATCTTTGTTAGAAAATGGGTTAGTGCTTACTTGGACAACAATTTAAATGATTTCTTTATATGTTTCAATGGTTAAAAACAGGTCAAGATGACGCTGTAATGGATGAATATTTTTTATAATAGATTAATTTACTTATTATTCTTTTGATTCATTATTTAGTTGTTCAGATCCTGAAAAGTCAGTGAATATAATATTTTCATATATTTGGCCAAAACAAAGGCCCAAGTGATTTTCCTGGAGAACCTATTTATAGAAATGACTTAATGGTTATTATATTATTGACGCTGTCCGCCAACGTCTTGGGTCTGATCGTTCCGAGACACGAGGTGTAATACAGGTTCCTGAGTGAGAGCGAGGCGACCCGAGCTCACGGATCTATCGTCACTGTGCTGCAGAACACCATGGGGTAAGTGTTCTCTCAGGCTCTGAATCTGCCCACGGACTCGTTGGACAAACACCAGGACTCGCAGAAGATCACCACCCTGATCGAGCAGGAAGTGTCGACGAAGGTGAACCGTGTCCTTTCTGAGGAGCAGGAGGAGGGCCCTGTGATGGTTGACTCCCTCATCAGCAGCGAGAGTGTGGCATGATCGAGAAGGGAAACTCCTGCCTCAAGAGGTGCCTTCGCTCCTTGTTCTGTTCCTGCGGCCGCCATGCTGCCACAAAGAAGTCGGAATCTTTGGAAAGTGGGCCATGCCGCTGGAGCTTCCTCAGATTCGCCAAAAGAAAATTCTGAAGCATGCAGGAAAACCTGGAGGCAACTTCTGGTTGAAGAGTTGAAGCCAGAGACGAGGAGTTTGTCGAGGGGGTCGAGCTGTGGGAGTTACCCAGACCTAGACAAAACTCCGGGTTATGCTTTGAGGACTCCAGAGGTTAGTTTTGAGCAGTTTTAACCTGAAATAGAGGAGTTGTTTTGACAGCTAGATCCACCGACAAGTCCTGATGCAGAAACAAGTCGAGAAAGACTGGCCCAGGCCTTGGATAGTTAGCATACTACTATCTTTGCTCAGAAACTGACAGACACAATGTACTGTCACTTTCAGATCCCAAACTTGCTGCGTCACCAAAGATAAGGAGTGAGTTCAAGAACCAAGACCCGAGCAGGCATACACACAGAAAAGAAGGGTGTAAGCACAGGCACCATGACCTGAAGCGGACATACGCCACGGTGCAGAGCGAAGTATTGGATTATCTCCAAAGCCTCCAGGATTACATCATGCAAGACCCATTGGAGAAATTCTACCGCCAGGATCTTTTTGATTTGTGAATGGAGAAGCCGCCTCTGTCGCCCAGCTCCCAGCAAGCCCTGACGTATAATATGTCCATTCCTTCTCAAGGAATCACGATATAATGATTCCTTGAGAATCATTATATAATATAATATAATGATGTAAAAACCCTAACCCTAACCCGTCCAGGTGGACTATCAACAAGTGTCAGGGCAGTCTTTCAACAGCCAGAAACATGACCTGTTTGAGAGGTCTATGGTGCACCCTAGAGCCTGTGTGCCATCACGGATCTCTAGAGACATTCCAGCGGTCGTCTTACGCACACCAGAGGTCAACACCAGGAGAATCTCAGGCATCTCTGAGAATTCAAAAAGTGATTTGCGACCGTTTGACAGAAAAGGCCTGGGAGGAGATCCAGCTTTCTGAACACCAGGCAAAGAAAACGGAGAAGAGAATCAAAGAAGTGTATCAAGAAGACCTCAAATAGCATTATGGTACGGCACAGAAAATGTTGGAAAGTGCTTTGGACGGAAAAGACAGTACTGTTGACAAGACAGTTCTGAAGTCCTTGCAGTACCACCTCGAGCACAACCTGCAGGGAAAGAGGTCTTCTCTGAGCCGTGTGTTCAGAGGTCTCTGTAAGCCCTTCCAATGCTGCTTATGCCCCACCATCCATCCATCCATTTACTTCCCCTTAATCCATTTCTGGGTTGGGGGGGGTGGCCAGAGATGCCACCCAGTACACAGAGCACCAGCCCCTCACTGATCCTCCTGCAGGTGGTGAGTCCACAGGAGCTGAGATCTTTCAGTGGGGGCTTCAGGCAAAGTAGGGTGAAGTGTCTTGCCCAAGGACACAATGACAGCAGTCATCAGTGGGAGTCGTGAAGTAGGTCTTACGGTGGGCTCGAACCCACGACCTTCAGGCTCAAAGGCCATTGCTCTACCAACTGAGCTACTGTCGCCCCCTACTTATGCCCCACCATCGAAGAATAAATATCTACACCCTCAGAACACCCCAATGCTTAGCTACAAGACCCCGGTACTAGCTACAAGACCCCAATGCTAGCTACAAGACCCCCAATGCTAGCAACTGAGGGGTTTGGATGGGGTTAGATTGATCAACCTTCATAGCTAGCAGCTGTGACGCGTGGCTAATTCCTCACAGTTTCTGTCTGCGGTGGCTTGTTAAGCCCAAAAAATGCGCACGTATCTTGGAGTTGTGTTGGATCGACACCGGATGTATTCAGACCTGAATCGACTCGGACCAGAATTCGTTTGGAAGCGGACCGAGACCACCAGTGAGTCTCGGTTCGGTTCTTTGGTCCGGACCAGGATTCGTTTATGTGTATTCAGAGCTGCATAAAAGGTTCGGATCAGAGTTCCAAACGAATCATGGTCTGTTTAAAGAGGAGAAAATGTACAAGTCTGAATACACCCTAAGACTTTAGTTTGAACCCCTCATGATCAGATTTTTGTACAATCTGAAAGAGAGGGTGAAAACACAAATTAGAGGGACTGTCTGGCCTGCAAACACCTCAGTATTCCCCCAGATGAGCTGGATGAGGCGTCTGTGGAGGGGGAAGTCTGGGCATCGATGCTTAGACTGCTGCCCCCATGACCTAGCAATGGATAAAGTCGCAAAAAATTGATGGATGGATGCTTGAAACTTGGCATTACCAAACAAATAATAAAAGAGTAAGCTTGGAATAGGGTAGACGTTCCCAAACTGGGGGGCGCGGGACAAATGAATGACGGAAAATACAGAAGGCTAAATGACTGCATAAGATGGACACATTCCAATATGCAGTTAAAGAGGTGAAGTCTGCTGTACTCTGCTGAAACGACGCCTCCCCATGCCTAGTCCTGACTCTGGGCACCAGCAGGAGGCCAGTCCCTGTGACCCTCAGAGTCCAAGTTTGGATCCTACGGCACTAACACGGTCTGACTGGTTTGACAGCAGAGACAAAAATGGGGTTTCCAAGCATAGGCCATAAAGACACTGCTGGTCCATATTCTTTCCACAGCCTGTTTAACTTTATGCTCCCTCCCTTCTCGAACACAGCGTCCATGTTCCCTGCCGGTGCCAAATGTAATCGAACGTGACACGGCGATGGCCCGGTGTGTTTGTCTGTTGTGAGTTTCTGTGCTTCTCTTTCAGCTCTCCCACGTGTTGCTCGCTCGCAGCCCACTCTCGCCATGGGAGGGAGGGACTTCTGCGCCTGCTGCCTCCGTGTTACTTCTAGTGTCAGTCGTTCGCTCGGATCTTCACTTCCATCGCCAAATGGCTGTTTTTTTCCACACAATCAAAGCTCGCCCGCCATGCAGTGGGAAGCTTGCACCACATAACACGTTTTTAATCAAGCAGGTGCAGACGGTTTCATGGTGGAGAGTGTTCTTTCGAGGAGCGTGTTTTCAGAGGAATTTTAAAGAGTCTTGATTAAGTAACATTTTGAGAGCACATACAAAGTCTAACTCAGCCAATCAGCTCTTGGAACGTAAAAAAAACAGTTTATATTTCACATATGCAATTATCAATTCATTAATTGAAAGACTGTAGCGACAGTAGCTCAGTTGGTAGAGCATTGGCCTTTGGGCCTGGAGGTCGTGAGTTCGATTCCCACCATGGGACCTACTCCAACTGCTCCCACTGATGACTGCTGTCGTTGTGTCCTTGGGCAAGACACTTAACCCCACATTGCCTGAAGCCCGCCGCTGAAAGATCAAGGCTGTTTCACAATTGACGGAGCAGCCATCTTCCTGTGGACTCACCCCCTGCAAAAGATCAGTGAGGGACTGGTTCTATGAGCGTTGGGTGGCAGCTCTCATTGCCACCCCCCCCCTTTACCCAAGTATAGAAGCGTTCATCATTTGAACACATATCGCTTTGCAGTAGGAACTAAGCCTGGACCAAACTTGGACTAAAACAACTCATAAGGCTACAATGTGCTCAGAGCCACACCAAACCAGGACAGGTGAGATCATGGAGGCCTCAGTGCTCCGGGGTAATGTACATGACTTATACTTATACTGTATAATGGGAACATATACGTCAGGGTGGGTCCTCCTTACTCTCACACATGTGCATTGGCTTCAGGGGGCTCACATTGCGGTCTCCCTGCAGAAATGAGTCACCTTGGCACAGTTCTCGGAGGACGTGTTTTTATGTTACACCTCTCAAACACCTTCCTGTGACATTTGATATTGAGTGCCAGTGAGAAATGGATGGACTACATTCCAGATATATTACATGATTTAAGAAGTGGTTCTGGCAAAGCTAACACACATTCAAACTGTTCAATAAATGCTCCTTTAGTGATACATTGCTACTGATAAAACAGGTGTATTAACTTCCTGTTTAAAGCCGCAGATATGCTGCCTCTTCACTGTTGGATGTCAATAAAGCCAGCAGTAGATTTTCTTTTGAATGTTGAACTGACTGATATTGGATAGCACTCTCACTTCTCAGCAAGAAAGTCCTGGGTTTGAATCCCGGTCGGAGCAGGGCCTTTCAAAGTGGAGTTTGCCTGTTCTGTGTCTGCGTCGGTTTCCTCCAGGTGCTCCGGTTTCCCCTACCTCTAAAAACATGCACAATAGGTATGAATGTAATGAGTGAGTGAGGGGATGGTGTTGGTGAGGGCTTTGATGCTCCAGTGTGTTCGGCGTCTCGCTTCCGTCATCACTGTGTGGAGAGAAATGAATCTGAACTCTCAACATTGTAAAGCACTTTGGCTCATCTTGGTCTCTAAAATGCACAATATAAATAAAGATGAATTACTTACTAATACAGCTTGAACTTGTGTGTTTTTCCTGAAGAACAACAGCAAAGTAACAGACATGTGTGAAATAAAAGCAGAATACTGTGATTGGCCACCACATGTGTATTCATTCAGCATTTCTCTGAGTGCATTCAAAGCCTTTGAACATTTTCTAATGACAGCTGAATGTTCAGTGCTGCGTGTGCTGCAGACATCATGTTTACTGCCCCCAGCAGTGCACACAGTGAATCAGCGGCTCGACATTGCGTGTAAACACACACAAAAAAATTATTCTGGGTTTTAGCTGGGTTTGGATAAAGTTATCAGGTTTCATTTTTTGTGCAATATTTTTTACAGTTCAGATATTAAAACCAAATTATGATTAGTTTTGCTTTCCCTTCACAGTTGTCTGTTACTTTGCTGTGGTCTTAAAAAAATCATTTTTTGTACACTTAACAAAGTTGAGTTGTTTTTGAGTTTTGTAAAGAAAGACAAATGGGTGTTTTGAGCATCAAAAAGCACAAGTCAAATGATTTTTTCTCTGAGCGCTCACATAAAACTGAATTGGTTCTGACAGTGTTGCTCTATGGCGGAGTTGAGGATTTT